CACACACACACACACACACACACACACACACACACACACACACACACACACATTCAAGGTAGGTTAATCCTTCATGAGCATTAAATCAATCGATCAATCGATCAATCAATCAAACAATCAAGCGATTATTCAATCAGTCGATCAATCATTAAAAAAAAATGATTGATTGGTGGACCAGTGCACGCCATCCTCCCCCGCTCTTAATTCACTAACCACACACACACACACACTCACACACACACTTACTATTGCATTCCAATTAGTACAAGGCGACACCATTATCATCATCAATCTCACACAGTGTGAGGCGAGACTAAGCGCTGTCACACTGAGAAGAAGCCCCAGGTTCCGATCACAGTTGGATGAGGAGGACGGAGGAGAGACGAAAATCGGAGGAAAGAGAGATATCATGAATTCAAATGTCTTTGAAATGGTACCAAGGCTACGACCGATCATCAAATGCACACACATCTCAATTGGTGAGAAATTTGTGGTTGGGGGCAGCTATCTCCAGGTACGTTGTTCCGTTACCTTATATACTCTCTCAATCTCTTCTTACCGCGAGGAAGTGAGCCCAACTTGAGAGTCCTCTCTTTTGGTGAGGTGTCGTGTGCGCTCTACCTTCAGAGACGACAATCTTCCCGGTGAAGCATCTGGAAGGAGAAAGGGTGGTGCCACTGAAAGGCCCTGGTCGAAGCACGTGGGTCACGGTCGCCATGCCAACCCAATGGGATTAGTACACGCATGCGATGGCTGCTTTGTCCATGAGGGCACTTTTGCTGCGCTGATAGAGGGTTGTGCAGACTGAACAGGCTTATGCAGACGCTCCCAGACCGTCTATAAACATTTCTGGATGCGGTTCCGATCAGATACTGACTGTGATCGTCGTCCTGATTGCGACGTTAAATAATTCCTGAGCAACCTTGGGGGCAATCCTTAAATAGGCCTCTTGATCAGCCAGATCAGTCGGACGTACGGCTCGTTGCACGCGAGGATAAAGAATGGGCAAGCCTGGTCATAAGCATGCACTTGGGGCACAGGGGTGGGCCGACATTGCACACCTATGACACTGCCGTTCAATGATGCTCATCGGTATGTTGGATTGAGGGGAGGGTAGGTTCCAATTTGGTGCTCAACTGTAAACACAACCATATCCACTATTCATACATCTGCAACATAGTCTGGTTTCATTGTTGATTAGTTGGTTGACAGACTGCTAACACCGCACATACATTTTAGTTTAGTAGTATTGTATACTACCATAGCCAGTTCTATGCAAAGCTTTTGTAAGTGAACTAATCATGATAAAACTAAACTATGTTTACGATCTTTTGTGAATGTTGTAGGCTGCCACCTGATCGGTTGAGTAGGGGACCTGCCGAACACATTTAGAAAATTAGGTGCCGGTCACACATATGCTGTGGTAGGACTCCAGCAGGGAGTTGTAGTGCAGATCGTGTTTGCCTAACTGATGAGCGGGTCAGACACCGATGAGGGTGGAGTTGACGATGCGAGACTGACACGTTCGAGATCACTTAGGGTCCCGCACGTGTTTCAGACCTTACAACCGGGAGACGAAAGACGGCTTCGTGCCAAAAATAGAGCCCGTGCTCTTGCAGCAGCCAGGGAAACAGCACTAGCTGCAAGTCAGGCGTTGGCAGCAGCAAACGCAGTAGCTAGAGAGCAGGCCGCAGCAGCCAGAGCAGCAGCAATGGCTAACGACGCAGCCTCTGCTGTGTCCTCGTCTGGGACCCAGTTGGGAATGCCCCCTGGGCCCACAGGTACTTCCGGGGCAGTACATTCTAGTCAGTCCACAAGTCAAATGGCAGGCTCGCAGTTAAGCCCGTTGACCCCACACGGCAGGGAGCTCCTCGAGCTCCAACAAGTCGAAAGGATCCGCGCTCGGTTAGAGAGGGAACCGAAGCAAGCTACCGACAGAGAGAAAGAGATCAAAAATAGAACGGCCAGGTTTGATACGTTAGAGGCAGACAAAGCTGCATTAGAGGGCTTGGATGAGTCAGCCATGACTGACCAAATGAAAGTGTTGAAGAACAGCGTACTGTCGTTGCATGCGCATGTGGACAACAGACTGGACTTCATGCAGAACTCTTTGGACCAGATCTTGGACCTTTTGCAAAGGCTAGGATTAAGGCCAGGAGCACAGTCGTCGTTGCCGTTAACGACGATGTCAATCCCCTTTCTGGTACAAGCTGGCACACAGCCAAGTGGTACGTCTGTAGCATCTGCACAGACTGTTGCTTCTTCTTCTTCTGGGTCAGCGGTGATAGCTACAACATCACCGCAACAACCTGTTCCTCAACAGGGACAACCGCAAGGTCAATGGTACCCAAAGACCCCTATGAAACCGCCCCTTGCCTTCTCCGGGGAGAAGAAGGACGAGGAACTCAACACATGGTTGAAAACAGTTCCAATGTGGGTAATGGCAAAGAGGACTTTGCAGGAGGAGGAGGTGATTACTGCTGCATCTTACCTTGAGGGTAAGGCAGCCAAATGGCTAGATGGAATAGTAGCAAAGGGCGGGTTCGGACGACGTATGGCAGACTGGGCTAAGACCCTTACGTTAGAAGAATTCTTAGACATGGTAGAAGCTCGCTGGCATAATCCACAGCAGGCACAAATTGCCACCGATGCGATGCTCAAACTAGACCAACGAAAGTACAAGTCAGTCAGAGAGCTTACGTCTACCGTAGAAAGCCTCATCGTTGTTCCCGGCATACGCTACGATGATCAGGTCTTATTGACCATGTTTGTGAGATGTCTACCAGAGAATCTCAGGACCTTACTAGCCAGCGAGGCTCGCCTCGAGAATCATTCGTTTGAGACCTCTAGAAAGGCCTTAGATTTAGAGGTTACTCTAGGAAGTGCTCAGCCTACTCCAGTAGACGGGAGGAAGAAGAAGAGTCCAAAGGAGTGGAAGAAGAAGGGGAGTCGATTGATGATGGTTGAGTCTGATGGGACCCAAACCGAGATCGAGGAGCTTTCAGACCTGATGGACAGTACAGAGTACGACGGTGAGGAAACCGATGAGGGTAGCACCCTCGCCACAGTGGTAAAGACTAAGGCAGGTGGCTGAGGGAAGGGCCATCAAAAGGGTCAAGGGCAGACCGCCTCCAATCAGGCCAAAGTTACTGATTGGGTAAAGGCAGGTATTGATCAGGAAGTGTGGCGGGACCGTCGACTGCGTGGTGCTTGCATTAACTGTGGTGAATACGGACACACCCAGTACAAGTGCAAGAACGCAAAGGTCACGCAGAAGATACCCCCTAAGGGAGGGGTACCTTCTTCCCAGGCTTCTAGCTCAGGAAACATGTGAGGCCGGTGGAAGTTTTAGTTGCTTCTACTCATGGTGAAGTTGGTCATATACCCTCCCCACTTCATAAGAAGGCCATAACTAATGACTCTTTAGTCACCCTGCAGACTCATCCAGACCAAACTATGCTCTGTACGTCGGATGTGTCTGAAGCCTTAGAAGATTTGGAAAGCGAGTGGTCAAGCAAGGATCCTCGTGAATCTTGGGTGGCACTAAGTAGAGGTCCTAGAGGGGAACATTTCGTCGTGGAAGTCGCCGTAGGGGGCCGCAAATGTGGTGCCTTCATAGACATCGGCTCCACGGGGAATTACATAAGTCGTGACTGCTTGGAAAGGTTGCACCTAAGGGACCGGGTACAACAGACCAGTAGCATCTACTTTGGCCAATAAAGAGCGCATGGTTAACATATACTATATCAAGGATGTAGTCTGTACCTTCTCCTATGGAGGAGGGGAACTTAATCACAAGATTTCGTTCCTGGTTAGTGACGATTTACTCTTTGATATGTTGTTAGGAATGTACTACCTTGAGGTTGCCAAACCCCAGTTTGACTAGGACAAGAAGGTGCTAAAGCATAAGTTGCAGGATGGAAGAACTGTGAGACTGGCTAAGTATAAGGCCAATAGCTTAATAGAATCCTATGGCTGCTTGTGCGCATCAACGTTCTACAATTATTACAAACAAAACCAAGAGGAGGGTATGTACCTAGTGTATGTCTCTGAGAAAGGGGAGGCCGTTAAAACACCCCCAGAGATAGAACATGTCGTTGCTAAGTTCCCTGATCTGTTCACAGAGCCTACACGAGTCATAGAAAGGGAGGTTGTCCACGCCATAGAAATCATTCCAGGGAGTAAAACCCCAAAGGGAAGGATCTATAAGATTGCTCCGGCCGAGTTGGACGAACTTCGGCGACAACTGAAAGAGATGACAGAAAAGGGATGGATTCGGCCGAGTACTTCCCCATTCGGATCTCCAGTGCTATTTGTACCGAAGAAGGGGGGTACATTGAGGATGTGCATTGTTTACAGAGGCCTCAATGCCATCACAGTGAAGAACGCAGAGCCTCTACCTCGCATAGACGACCTATTGGATAGGGTGCAGGGATGTAAATACTATAGCAAGATAGACTTAAAGTCCGGCTACCATCAGATTGCAATAAGACCTGAGGATCAGCACAAGATTGCTTTTCAGACCAGATACGGTCTATATGAGTTTGTAGTGATGCCCTTTGGCCTTTGCAATGGCTGGTACCTTCCAGCATGCCATGAATAGGATCTTTCATGACTACTTAGATAAGTTTGTCGTCGTGTACCTTGACGATATTCTTATCTTTAGTAAGTCTGTCGAGGAGCATGCACATCACGTTGAGAGTGTACTTTCACTCCTGCGACAACACAAGTATAAGGTCAGCCTAGAGAAATGTGAGTTTGGACGCACTAGGATCTTGTACTCGGGTCATGAAGTATCCGTGGAAGGGATTAGGCCGGAAGATGCGAAGGTGGCTAGTATCGGCTAGTATCAGGGACTGGCCACGACCTCAGACGGTTACTGAGGTCAGATATTTCTCAGGAATGTGCGACTACTATAGAAACTTCGCAAAGAACTATTCCACAGTCGCCTCTCCTTTGACTGATCTAACTCGACTTGACACGCCGTGGGACTGGAGTGATGAGTGCGAGGCTGCTTTCAAACGATTGAAGCATGCACTCATGAATCATGAGGTTCTCATGGTGCCCGATCCTCAGAAGCCTTTCATTGTAACCACTTACGCAAGCCAATACAACATTGGTGCAGTGTTGACTCAGCAGGATGGGAAAAAGTTGAGACGGATTGAGTATATGAGCAAAAAGATGCCACCAAAGAAACCGGCAAAGTCCACCTATGAAAGGGAACTCTATGCTCTCTACAAAGCACTTGTCCATTGGAGGCACTTTCTGTTGGGACGGTTTTTCTATTTGAGAACTGGTCATCAGACCCTTAAATGGATCAAGCCTCAACTGGCTCTTTCTGATGCACTCAAGCGCTGGATTGAGGTCATAGATCAGTATGCCTTCAAGCTAGAGTATCTGAAGGGAGAGTACAACAAGGTTGCAGATGCGCTATCACGTAGGGCAGACTACCTAGGAGCACTAGTTTCTGAGTTTGGTGTATCTGAGGAACTAACTCAATCCCTGGTGGGAGCCTATCAGGAAAACCTTGTCACGATGGACATCATACACAAATTTCAGGCAAAAGACAAGGCCACAGAAGATGAGTTTGTGATGGTGGACGAGCTTCTCTTTCTTGATAAGGCCGGATTTAAAAGGTTTGTTGTCCCATCTAGTGAACTTTTGCGTAGTTTATTCTTAGGAGAATGTCATGACGCAACCGGACACTTTGGCTACAAAAAGACGAGTGCCAATCTAGTACAACGATTTCGGTAGTCCGGAATGCTAGAAGATGCAAAGAAGTATGTGGAGACCTGTCAGGTCTGTCAGCGGGACAAACCGTGAATTCAAGCACCGCTTGGGTTGCTGAATATCCCCGCTGGTCCGGGACAGAGTGTTTCCATGGACTTCATAGACACCCTGGTGACCAGTAGGAGTGGCAAGAGGCACGTCTTTGTCATCATAGACCGATTCACCAAGTACGCTAGACTAATTGTCATGCCAGAGACCGCAAGGACTGAACACGTCATCAAGTTGTTTATGGACAACTGGGTCCGTGATTTTGGACTACCAAAGTCAATCGTTAGTGACAGAGATGTCCGCTTCACAAGTGAGCTGTGGAAGAAGACTGCTGAGCAAATGGGCAGTCGACTTCAGATGACTTAAGGGAATCATCCCGAAGCCAACGGATAGGCCGAGCAGATGAACAGAGTTGTACAACACCTGTTGAGGCATTACATCAAGCCCAGCCAGGATGACTGGGATGAGAAGTTGCCTCTCATCGCCAGCCTGTACAACAAAGCTATACACAGTAGTACCGGCGTTAGTCCTAATCAGCTACACTTGGGATGGAAGCCTAGATCAACTCTGGACTTCCTCCTACCTGAAAACCGACCCTCTGCAACTCCAGGTACACTTGAGTATGGTGTACAGTATGAGAAGTTGCTACAACAAGTTATCGAGCACATCAGGAAAGCTTAGCAAGCAATGATTGCTTCTTAGAACAAACATCGTCGAGAGTCCTCATTTCAGGTAGGGGAACGTGTCTGGGTCACGGCTAGTGAGCTAGGACAAGAATTCGGTATCTCTTGAAAACTAATGCCTCAATATTTTGGTCCCTGGGAAGTCCTGGACATAGTTGGGGATGAGATGGATGGTCCTACCTATGTTATGCGCATCCCTGGTCACTTGCGCACTCACCCTGTCTTTCATGCCTCAAAGCTTGCACCTTTCGYTGAGACAGATCAATTCCCTTCAAGGAGATCGATGCTGCCCCCAACCATGGATGGCCAAGTGGACATCGACGACACTGTGGATCACAGATACATGCCTGTTCCAAAGCCACTGGGTTGAGGAAGACCTCCCAAACCCAAGAGAGAATATCGCGTCAGATTCAGGCATCATACGGATCCAAAAGAAGATCGGTGGTTCGCCAGAGAGGAACCGATTGGCACCGCTCCTCAAGTGGTGGCAGAATATGAGAGGATGTTAAAAGGGAAGGCACCTGCGAAGTAAGCATCTCAGCGGACTTCCGAAGCTAAGGGGGATGGAATGTGAGGATTGAGCCCTCAAAGGGGCCTTGCCGTGATGTACATGTTCTGGGCTAAGGCCCCCATCAAGCCGCGTGCCCGCCCTAAGTAAAGGCGGGCCAGCAAATCAACGACAACCCCTTTGATTCAAACACTTCATGAAGTGGGGTCCATACCGTTGCCGCACGCCAGTTGGTTGGAGTGCACCGAGTACCAGATCTCTGCAAATGCAGCAAAGTCAGGGCCCCAGAATTGGTTAGGCCCTGGGCGCATAAACGTGAGGCCGACATTGCATGCTGGATATAGAGGCCGAAAATGCCAATGGAAAACCGGTCCACTATCTGAATCTGGACGCAGGCTGTGATGAAAGAGGCGCAACTGTATATCGGGGGCCCCAACCACATTGGGCCTGGGTACAGGTATTGGGGCCCATGCGCAGGCTCGAGGGAGGCCGCCCACACGCAACACTGGCATATAGGCAGAGAGGGCGAGTGAGCGGGGATCTTGGCCATTGCGAGCAATGTCGGCACAAAGAAGCACTGCGAGGTGCTGCGCTGCGCTAAACTAACGTAGAGGCAGGTTGGCGCTAAGCAGTAGGGCGCAGCCTAGGCACAGGGCGCTGGCGGCCATAGTCGGGCTGCCTGTGGGCGCAGAGGTGCAATGACTTGCTGATTTCTACTGCCGAGATTGACTGCGAGGCTGTACACTAACCGGTACGGTTAGATTCGTAATTTTGTTTGGCTGAGGTCTAACCAAGAGACCTGCCTGTAAGGAAATTCGTGAGGGACATATCTGCAAATCTGGGAGAATATAGGCCGAGTACTAACCCGAATTCCTATAGCTACCCTAACTGCCTATAGCAGACCCGGGCTACCCCTAGGACAAACAGGCCCTAAGCGGCCTATGCTGCTAGACGGTCCTATAGCCTATAGCCGGGTCCGGTAGAGGCCGAGAGGACGAAATAGCAACGGTACCGGTCGGTCAGTCAGTCCGGTCTAGGTCTAGGAAGTCTATAGATAGGTTAGGCCCATCGGTTCAGGACTTTTGACAGTTCATTTCTCGCGAAGCAGCGTTGGAGAGGCCAAGCAAATTGGTGGCGGTACCTGTCGACAGGCGGCATCCTGAGACTCGCCGTTGACAGCAGCCATAGCCGGCCCAGTCTGAGTCTGCCATAGCTGGGGCATCCTCAACGCATCTACCCCTGGGGGTATCTGCGTATGGCCGGGCTGTATCGAGGCTCTACAGTGTGTGTTCGTGGGTGGTGGCAGCCATAGCTGCCTGTTCCTTCGTCAGAGTTGTCCATCGACACTGAAGACTTCATCGCAGGACCTGTTCTTCATCAGGGTGGTTGGCGCTGGCCTCTGGGAGGCTGTTCTGATGTGGCGCTACTAACTGGGTGTAGGATAGAGAGTGGGGTGTGAGTTCTGAGTGTGGCGAGATACTGGAACAAACTCTGTTACGATAATTGTGTGAGTGGCTCATCATCAGTGTCATTTTCAATTGTGATCTTCGCAGGTTCTTTCTTGTGATTGGTTGTTGGGAGTTGTGTCAAAGAGTGAGAAACACTGTGTGTTCTCTCCCCATCTGTGCATGATTGTCTTCCGCTGCTTATTTTACCTGTGTGCAGTTTGGACTATGTCTCCTCTCTCCCCTTCTCTTCTGCATGTATGGGCATGTGTGAGACTGTCTGTGTGTGAATGGCGATAAAATTCGTTAGGCAACCAAGTTCATAACATTTGGTATCAGAGCGGAATTGGAATTGGAACACTGAGTGTTGAGCGCACTGAGGCATCTTCTTCATCTGGCAATATACTGGCGAGAGTTTCATGGCGATTCATCTTCCCCAGTACTGAGTCAGCAGGGAAGAAGACTTTCAGCGGTGGATTCAGGTGTTCAGTGGTTGTACTGAGCAAGCGCACTGAGCCTGTAAGGGCGCTTGTCAGGAAGTGGTGAGTACAGGGCTAATTCGCCATAGCCAACCCTGAGGGTAGTACAACGAATTACCCCAGAGTGGCGAATTACCCCTGAGGACATCAGGGAACCCTGAGCGGCATCATCCCTGGGTGGCGCTGGCAGAGATTGACACTGCATATCAATCTGCTGAAGAAATAACCCCATCTGGGGTTATTTTTAGCACCAGCGGCTACCAGGCACTGTGGCGAGATATTTTGTGTTGGCATACTGGGCGCCACAGGACCAGATACAGGGTATCTGGAGTGAGGGGGTGCAGCGTTACAGGATCCTGAGGAGGATCAACGAATTTAAAGCAGTTCTCTGCGTGGAAGTGTCAGGAGGAATATCTGGAGGAAATTGGCGAGATCGGGGTATCATCAGCCATAGCCAGATCTTCATCATCACCTGCAAGATTCTCAGAAAGTGGGTCCGTTCCATGCACCTACCTGTATTGCGATCCAGATAGGGTTAGTTTAGTGAATTGTAATGGTCTATCTGTCTGTAAGTGACTGGATGTGAAAATCGCAGACTGCAAGACAGCCATAGCCATCTCTCCCCTACCTCTCTCTGCTCATTTCTCACCCTCTGCTGACTCTTTCTGATCCAAAATTGTTCTGTGACTGCTATACTGCATTGCGATTATTCTGGGATGCTCAAACTATTAATTCTGCACTGGAAAGGTAGTGATAAAGTGAATTGCAGTTTTGCGCTGAGTCTATTTATAGCCTGTGCTACCTAGGGTCAGTCATAACTTCAATTTTGTCCGTCAAAATTCAGTTCTGTTAGTCCCCAGTGAATCACAATCCAAAAATAGACAATACTGTAGAATCGCGGGATTGGATTTGCAGTATGTCACTGGATACAGTGAAAATTGTAATCCGCCATACCCTAGGGTATGGCCGCCAGAGTCATCAGAGTCTAAAATTGAGTCTGAGTCAGGATACAGGGTAACTGTCTGCATCGCTTGTTGTGGTTGATCTCTCGTTGTCTGTACTAACCATCTCTATCATTCCCACTTACTACCCTTGTTTTCTAGTGGGTACTAGAAATTCTAGTGGGTACTAGAAATTCTAGTGGGTCTCTGGAAGAGTAGTGGAGTGAGTTTACCAACTCCAGTGTGGTCCAGGGTCAGTAAAAGGAAGTCGTGTGACTGATTTTGCTGGACCTACAGTCTGTCTGACACCTGACCCCAGAGACACCCTTCCACCCCAAATCGTTGATTGCCTGTACACCCACCTATCCCAGTGTTGAGTATTCGCAGCGATTCCAGTGTGTCTGAAGGAATCTGAGTGTCGCTGCATACTCTGGTTTGCTGTTTATTTTATCTTTGGTCTTTGTTTTGAACTGGGAAAATGTCTGAGCAGGGGACAGAGCAGCAGCCACAGGTGGAGGTAGTGATGAAGGTGGAAGGTGAACAGCCTTCAGCCTCCACCCCCTCTTCTCCACCTCTGACTACTACTCAGCGGTTGAAGAAGGAGTTAGAAGAACAACTGCGGCAGCAACAGACCAGACTTGCAGAAGTGGAACAGCAGGAGGCTGCTGAACTAGAGGCTGCAACAGATCATTCCCGAAGAGAATATCTGTTGCAGCAGCTAGGAAGGTCGCTCACTGATGATCGTTGCTCCCAGATCACCAAGCAAATGGCAAAGATGATCCTGTTGGAGCATAAGATCACCAGCTCCCAGTTTACAAACTGGGATGATCGTTTTGTGTGGCTGGAGCATCGGGTTGACGAGTTGTCAACTCAGCAGACCAAGATCCTGAAGTCTATTCAGGGCTTGACTGCTCAACTCTGCTGCAGCCTAAATCTTCTTCTCATTCTTCACCCCCTTCCTCTCCACATCCATCTCATGCTGGCTCTGTACATTCTTCCCGGTCATCCACCCCTTCCCAAAAGGCCTCAACAAAGGCCACCTATGCTGCTGTTACTGCAGGAGACCAGAGAGGTCCCAAGATCCCTGCTCCCAACAAGTTTAGGGGTGATGACCCCAAGACCGATGTTGGGGACTGGGCTGCTGGGACCCAAGCCTACTTGAGGGGCTTCATCTGTGCAGAACAGACCAAGGTGGCGACTGTTATGGGACTACTGGAGGGACTCGCACTGAAGTGGGCCACCTCAACTTCCAGCAGTCTGCAGCAGTCCATGGAGGACTGGGCTTTTGGGCTGGGGGTGGACAGACTTTTGCAGGCCCTGGAGGACCGGTTTGCAGACAAGGAACGGGCCCGCAAGGCTGCTGACAGGATTGCTCGCTTGGGACAGCAGCGGTACAGCAGGACCTTGCAGGCCTTGTTTGCTGAGTTTGAGCAACTCACCGCCACCCCTCGATTGGTCATGAGCCCTGATGATTTGCTGACCAACTTCTGCAGGGCAGCGCCTGAGAAGTTTGTCGTTGCTCTGTACAGCGCTGGGCACAAGGACTGGAGGTCCTTTGGCCGTGCATCCCTGGAAATGGAGACCAAGCTCCATGTCCAGGCCCCATCCTCTGACAGGAGGAGAGATGCCTTCCCTCGAGGTGGTAGAAAGGGAAAGGCAGCCTTCACACATGCAGGGTCTGCCTCAGGATCAGACTCAGATTCCCAGGCTGATATACCTTCAGCTGGGACTAGATCTGAGATTCCCAGGCTAATACACATTCAGCTGGGACTGGATCTGCTGCTGAGCCAGACGTTGCAGCAGTCGTGACTCAGGATGTTTTGGGAGCTCTGCAGCTGTAGAAAAAATTTTCTCCCACCACAACCTCAGCCAGTGTCAAGGGGAAGGAAAAGGGACGTCGGCCTTCCTCTTCCCAGTGCCCTAACCTGCCCAGAGACATCCGCATGCCAGCTGAACCTCTCAATCCCTCCACACTCCCCTGGCATGACCTCAAGATTCAGGAGGGAGTCTGGAGAAGAAGAAAGGAGAGAGGGGTTTGCCTAAGGTGTGAGGAACAACACTTTTTATGGGACTGCCCTTACATGCCAGGCCCAAGTAGTCAGTCAAAAAACTGAAACAGACCCTGGGGACTGCAGTTCCCCCCAGTGCTGCACCTTCATCTATTCAGGTAGGTGAATCTGCAGCTGTTTCAGTTGAGGCTGCATGTGACAGTGTGAGTTTGGGGACTGCGTGGGCAGCATCCTTCTGCTATGAGGATCCTGACCCGGATCAGGACCCGGGGCAGGATGAGCTCCAGTCTATTGCTGCCTTCTTCCTTCATCTGAAGGAACAGAAGAAGAGCAAGACTGATCTCATCATGCTCCGGCCACTGATCAACAGCACCAGGATCACTGAGCTGTTGGACTGTGGGGCCACCAGGAACTTCGTGTCTCCCAGTGCAATTAAAAAGCTGCACCTGGGCATGAAAGTTTAGCAGCTGCAGCAACCGCTGTTGGTGCGGATTGGTGACTCTACAGTAATCAGCATCAGGGTGAAGGTCAAGGGCATCCCTGTGACCTTCCATACTGTAGGAAAAGTCAGACACAGTCTGAACTTTTATATCTTCCCTGAGCTTCCCTTTGACTTGGTGTTCTCTATACAATGGTTGAGGACAGTCAACCCTAGGATCGACTGGCAGATCCCTAGAGCTGAACTACCGGACAGCCAGGGGGTGTATCACCCATGCATGATTGCTGCTGAGCATCACCCTAAGACCTCCTGCTACTGCCTGAGAGCGAGGGAGTTTCATGCTCTCTCTCGCTAGTACCACCATGAGCATCTGTTCATTGCTTTGGTCAAGCAAACAGATGTTCCCCCTGTTTCCTGTCCTCCTGAGATACAGCAAGTGGTAGATCAGTATGTTGATCTGATGCATGAGCCCTTGGGACTACCCAACCAGCCAACCAAGCATCACATCGCGCTGCTGCCTGGAGCGGTCCCTCCCTAGGGCCGCATCTACAGGATGTCCCTTGCTGAGCTTGAGGAGCTCAGAAAGCAGCTTGAGACCCTGACCAGCAAAGGCTGGATCAGACCCAGCACTTCCAAATTCAGTGCACGTGTTCTCTTTGTGCCCAAAGGGAACGACGAGTTCAGAATGTGCATTGATTACAGGGGTCTCAATAAGATCACTAGGAAGAGTACTGAGCCACTTCCTAGGATCGATGACCTCCTGGATATGGTGCAGGGTTGCACAGTGTTCAGCAAAGTCGACCTCAAATCTGGCAACCACCAGATTGAGATGGCAGAGGAGGATGTCTACAAGACAACCTTCAAGACCAGGTATGGGACTTATGAGTTCTTGGTCATGCCATTTAGACTTTGCAACGCCCCAGGCACTTTCCAGACAGAGATGGACCGCATCTTCAGGCCTTACCTGGACAAGTTTATGGTTGTCTACCTGGATGACATCCAGGTATTCAGCAAAACTGTCAGGGAACATGCGGAGCACCTGGCTCTAGTCCTTCAGTCGTTGCGTGACAGCCAGTATAAGATCAACAGGGAGAAGTCCTCTTTTGGAGTTCCCTATGTTATCTATCTGGACCATGTAATCTCAGGAGATGGCCTGGCTCCTAAAGCAGCCAAGATTGCGGCTATTCAGGAGTGGCCTCAGCCTCAAACAGTGAGGGATGTCCGATCCTTCATGGGTCTAGCCTCCTACTACAGAAAGTTTGTCATGAACTTTTCGGCAGTGGTTGTACCCCTGACTAACCTAACAAAGAAGGACACTCCCTTTCTTTGGTCCCTCCACTTTCAGTTGACCTTCACACGACTCAAGAAGGCCTTGACTCGTGTGCCTGTACTGAAGTTACCTGACCCCACTTTGCCATTCATCCTGACCATTGACGCCAGTCAGTATGGCATTGGGGCAGTTCTTCAGCAGGACGATGGGAATGGTCTACGGCCAGTAGAGTTCATGAGTAAGAAGATCAAGACTCAAAAGCTCCAGGACTCTACCTACAAGAAAGAGCTATATGCTCTTGCCCTGAAACATTGGAAGCACTTTCTCCTGGGCAGGTACTTCAAGATCTTTTCAGATCACTCCACCCTGCAGTGGATGAAGTCCCAGGGAGAGTTAAACGACAAACTGGCACGGTACATTCAGTTCATAGACATGTTTGACTTCGAACTGAAACATAAGAAGGGCTGCTACAACAAGGTAGCAGATGCTGTCTCTCGTAGGCCTGACTCTTTTGCGCTGATCTCCTCTACTCACTCCTTTGGAGAGGAGACCCGTCAGACCATTGCTCGTCTACTACCTCAGGACGAGACTTTCGGACCCATGGTCAGGAATCTGCAAGCAGATCCTAACTCTGAACCAGGTTATGCTCTGAGTTCAGACCTGCTGTATACTTGCAGCAGAGGTGAGGAGCGCTTGTGCATTCCCCAGGACCAGCGGCTCAGGACACTGCTGATGTCAGAATGTCATGATGCCCGGGGACACTTCGGGTTCCTAAAGTCTTATGCAACCCTGTCGCAACACTTCTTCTGGAAGGAGATGCGGAGTGATATGCTGCGTTATGTGGACACCTATGAGCTCTGCCAAAGGAATAAGGTCCAGCGTAGACCTCCTTTGGGACTGCTCAAACCCTTACCCATACCTGATGGCCCTGCTGAATCTGTGTCTATAGACTTCACAGATTTAGGCAAGACCACCCCTCGTGGCATGCATCAGGTTATGGTCTGCGTGGACAGATTTTCCAAATACGCAGAGTTCATCCCCTTGCCAGAGGTAGCTAGAGTACCAGCTGTGAGACCAGCCTTTTCTGAGAGGTGGGTCACACACCATGGACCGCCACCTCTATACTCAGTGATCGAGACCCCAGATTTTGCATCGATGAGTGGCAGTCCTACTGGAAGGACTATCTGCACTCACGATTGGACATGACTTCTGGTCATTATCTTGAAGCCAATGGTTTGGCTGAAGTGATGAACCAAGTCTTATTCCAGCTGCTACGTCCTGTCATCTCTCCAGATCAACAAGACTGGGATCTTCACTTAGCAAGGGCACAACTCATGTACAACATGTCTGTCCACTCCACGAACGGGTTCATTCCCTACTGGTTACACTGGGGACGTGAACCACGACAGCCTCTCGATGACATCATCGACAAGGCTAAGCCTGATTTGACACCAGGCACAACGGAGTTCGCCAAACGATATCGTCTAGATGTGGAAAGAGCCCGCGCGAACTTGTTCAAAGCCCAAAAGGCTATGATTGAACAAGCCAATCGCCACAGGCGGCCTTCCCCCATCCGCACTGGTGACCATGTTTGGGTGGCCAGCTTTGAGCTGTCGAGAGAGGAGGATATCTCTCCCAAGCTGTTGCCACGTTACCTGGGTCCATGGCAGGTCCTATATACAGTGGGCGCTGATCCCTTCGGTCCGTCGTATGTCATCGACGTCCCGCTGCATCTACACACCTACCCGGTCTTTCATGCATCCAAGGTGTTGCCTTTCACTCCAGCTGATGCATTCCTAGACCGGCCCCCTGAATTCGGTCCACCGATCCCTAGCAAGGGATATGACGTGGAATGGATTGAGGACGAGTGGGGCGCAGGCCCTGACCGGCAGTATCTTGTGAGGTTCGCATTCCAGCCTCCTTCTGAGAACAACTGGTTCTACAGAAGGGAACTTCTCAAGACAGCAAAGTTAGTTGTTCTGCGATATGAAGCGGCTCAGAAGGGCAATCTTCCTGGCCGTTCACCTCGCCTGCGCCCCTAGCTCGGAGGTCCTCGCTCCCGGGGAGGGTAAGCCTGCGATGACTTGCTGATTTCTACTGCCAAGATTGACTGCGAGGCTGTACACTAACCGATAGGGTTAGATTCGTAATTTTGTTTGGCTGAGGGCTAACCGAGAGACCTGCCTGTACGAAAATTCGTGAGGGACATATCTGCAAATCTGGGAGAATATAGGCCCAGTACTAACCCGAATTCCTACAGCTACCCTAACTGCCTATAGCAGGCCCGAGCTACCCCTAGGACATACAGGCCCTTAATAGCCTATGCTGCTAGACGGTCCTATAGCCTATAGCCGGGTCCGGTAGAGGCCGAGAGGCCGAAACAGCAACGATACCGGTCGGTCAGTCAGTCGGGTCTAGGTCTAGGAAGTCTATAGATAGGTTAGGCCCATCGGTTCAGGACTTTTGGCAGTTTATTTCTCGCGAAGCAGCGTTGGAGAAGCCAAGCAAGTTGGTGGCGGTACTTGTCTACAGGCGGCATCCTGAGACTCGCCGTTGACAGCAGCCATAGCCGGCCCAGTCTGAGTCTGCCATAGCTGGGGCATCCTCAACGCATCTACCCCTG